TATTTGTGGTCTGCATCCCAAGACTCCTGTGGAAGCTTGATAGTAGGTACTACTGAGCCTTTTTATAGCCTTTGTTTTCTCCACATACATGCAAACATATATGTGATACATATAACAGGTGTTACTATATAGATTCTGCACAGAAAGATTAAAACTGTGAAAACAGGATAATCATAATTCTATGCTATGGTAACATTATAGGAATAGTTTCTCTTTCTTAATATGTGATATTGCAGTGTGGATCTTAGCAGCCTCGGGTATGATTCATTTATTTTTCCTTATAAAGTTAAAATCTTTACACTTTCACTTAAAAGGAAGTATGGTATGACTTCTCATCGGTATATCTGAGTTTCCATCACCACCTTTAAGAATGGCTTTAAGGTCATTATTAAGTGACTAAAGGGCCCCTTGGACACAAGCACCGCCATCTTGTGATAGTTGGTCTGATGAACCAGACTACTTCGAAGTGACCAGCAAGGGTCTCCACAGGAAGTTCATGGCCCACTCATGACACAGAGGGACAAGTGACCGTAGACTTCCATGATTTATTTTTGACAATCTTCTGGCTTTTCACTGTTCAACTTTTGTAGGAAAAGAAACTATTCCCATAAACCCAAGAGTGTATTTTGGCCGCCTTGTTCTTGAAGGCGGATATCTAAGTCATGTATGTTTTCCCCAAAATGCCAGGTGGGGATAGTAGGCATCCAGTGAACGGAGAACAAAGAAGGTAAATTATCGTTTATTGTGTAGAGCCCAATCCAATTTGATACCGGCTGGGTCATGGTTGTACTGTTTGCCTTCAGTTTGAGTCAATACTAGACTGATAGTTAACCCCGGGTATAAAAAGAGGGATAGCGTCCTCATAGCACGCTCTTTGTCGTGAAATAAAGAATGAAGTATCTCTTCTAAAAGCAAAATAAAACATGGTTTACTCTGAACTCAACATTTAGTGAATTACCCTAAATATGTCATCCAGTCTAAGTTCAGCTTTGCAGTAATTCAGCACTTACTGGCATGAAAAGCCCACGTCTCTAAAGAAATTGATGCCAGATATTTAAATGCACAAATTGAAAAGAAATTCCAGTTAATTCTAACATTATGAAAACTCCAAAATCAACGTGTATCAATTTAGCTCTTCAGTCTGCCACAACTTTAATTAGTGTATGTACTAATTAAACACTTTTGGGGGTGGGTGGAGACGTGGCTCAGGGGCTAACGGCAGGCACTACTCTTGCAGAGGACCAGGTTTCTGCTCCCATCACCCACATGGTGGCTCATAGCTATCCACGGCTTCAGTTCCATGAGATCCTCTCCTGACCTCTGTGGGTACCAGTGATGCATGTAGGGAATTTATGTGCACAGGAGCAAAACATTCATACCCATAGTATAAAATAAATCTAAAAAAAAACGTGAAATTAAACTTTTTAAAAAATATTCTGTATTCCCCTGAACACCCACACTCCAGTGTCATCCCCTTCCCCATGTCCTGCCTTTCTGTGTTAATAACCCCTGTGTGGATGAATTACAATTTGAAAAAAAATAAATTATTTTTTAAAAAGTAATACTTTAAAAGCTAGTGTTTAAATTCTCCACTAAGTTCTCCATAGCAGTAAGAATCTGGTTGGATATAGATCCCCTGGATCTTAAAGTAATTTAATAGACCATTTTCTGAAATCACTAAAACCAATATATAGGTTTCCTGGAGCCTACTAATGCCAAACCCTCTGCTGGGCACTTAGATATCAAATGAGTAGTCCTGACTCCATTTACCATATGAAAACAGGTTCAGAGAAGTCAGATGAGCCTCTGACGTTATGCCTGAGGTTATGGGTGTTAAAGCAACTTCCTGTCCTTCCCGAATATACGTAGGTTTCTCAGTACAGACAGGTTTTTCTTTCACAATCAATAGTCAGGGTCCTGGCTTGTACAAATAGGTTTTTTATGTTTGTCTGTACTTTCTTTTCAGTTTTTCCTGAATGCCTGGATAGTTAAAATTATTTTTGAAGTCTTCAACACCTCTAGTGTCCTAGAAAGACATAATTCTATTTGGTGTCATAGACCTTTGCATCGGTAACTTAGTTCAAGCTTGCTAAGCTGTCTGTGTTATGCTTTAGAAGGCTGGACAGCTAATCTCAAAGCAGACAGACAGACTTCCCAGGAAGAAAGCAAGATATTAAAATGAGAGGGAAAGCCCAGCCTTAGGGGATTTCAAGATTCAACAAAGGCCCCAAATTACTGACTAAAAAAGCCCCACATCTCTGTTATGCCAAAATTCACTTACAAGTGAAGTTTTTAATGTTTGGTCACTCTGAATAAAGGTGCAATGGATAAGCTTGTATGTGTGACAATTTGCACACATGAGAGGCTTTAGAAGCAGAAATGCTAGGTCATCTGTAGTCTGATAGAGATTGCTAGACTATCCAGACAGGAGCAGTGCCACATGATTCCCCCCTGTCCACAACAAATGTTCTTCGTACACTGTCTGGAAGAAGTTGCTCTCTGTGCGATCAAGGGTTGGCATGTTCTCCACGCTGCTGTCCTCTGTGAAGGACTGCTGGCCTTTAGGATTCACTTTCAGTTTAAATTTTAGGATGGTTATTTTACAAGGAAAAGGAGTTTCTTTAGCTTGTGCTTTCAGAGACTTCAGAGTCCACACCTGGCAACGGCCTCTGATAGCATCAAAGCATAGTGAGCAGCCTCATGTGGCGGGACCCCATGTACATGCGGTGTGCAGAAGGGATCATAGAGGGAGAGCTAGCGAAGGAAACTGAGATCTCATTAGAACAACCACGATATGGATTAATCTCAGCCAAGGAGATTGAGGCCAGCTTTCCACAGTAACCATATGACCTGACTCACTTCCCACAGAAACCCATCAACCCTCCTCAGGACCAGCCACCGTTTGTTAAAGGCTCCATCCATTCACACCACCACTCTGGAGACGATGCATCCAGTACAAGACTATTTGAGGGACAAACCATATCCAAATCAAACCGCATCTGTTCAGAGTTCACTGTCTTCTCTTCTCACAGTTCCCAGGCATCGTCCTAAACTCTCATGGACTAACACATGGATGAATGGTTTCAAATGATTTTTTTTAATGAATTTGACTGATTTAATAAAATGAAGGTTTTAAATGACTACAAGGCATGGGGTATATCTTTGACTCCCTCACAGTGCCCAGTAAAACATAATGATGATTCAGTGAGATGTTTGTGGTAGAAATGGCATATTAACTTCTTGAGTTATATGGCAGTTTGTATTTCTCAGCTTGGTGGCCAGGAGAGGAAGGCTACTTAGACTCCAAAGACAAAGCATTGAGGTAGAAGGAGCCCTTCACAGAAAATACATTAATCAACATGTTAGCAAGTGATACAATATTTCTGCCAGGAAGCCTTCTGCTGGTAAACTCCTTGAATGTCCAGAGGTGAAGTTTCCAGGGACTGACATAGTGTGTCACTATTACAAAGATGCAGATCTTCCTTTACAAACACCCAGAGTCTGTCATGTTATTAGGTACACCCATCGTGCTTTGTGAGTATCTGGCTTTAAGAAATTGTCCAAGGATCACAAGCTTCTTTAAGTCTTATTGCTGAAGAAGTGGTCGAGAGAGACAACACAGTCAACGACACACACTTTCTTTAATGGTGACTGTGGTGTCGTTTGAAAACTACAGATTTCCTATGGTTCCAGGGAAGTCTTGGGTCTGAGCCCTGAACTTGCTTAGTTCCCAGTTTCTCTTTTTTCTCTTCAGAGACTGAGGACTGAAGGACATGCAGCTTCATGCTGCTGGTGCATCTCCATGTACACTGATCTGAGCGGGTTCTCAGAGCAAAGCCCTTCACTTCCTCTACTCTGTGGGGCCACTCTTTCTCCTCCCACCCACTCCAGAGCTCCATTTTGGACAGAAGAATTTTGACAGTCTTCTTCATATTTTATTAAACTTTTAAAGCAAATGAGACTGAAATGTAACATATCTTAAAGATTTATTTCTATTTTATGGGTTTGCATGTTTTGCCTGCATAAATGTAGACACCATATGCATGCAGTACCCACGGGGGCCAGAAGAGGACACTGGATTGGCTTGATTGCCTGGAAGGTGGAAGGTTATACCATCTGAATGCTACAAACTCAACTTGTGTCCTCCGAAAGAGCAGCAAGTGCTCTTAACCACTGAGCGCTCTCCAGTTCCTAATAAATTTTTAAATAAGTTATTTTGATAATACTCATCATTCAGGATTCAACAGCATGCTATATGAACATAAAAGCTGTGTGGGAAGAAAAAAATAAAGTCAGGCATGCAGATATTCTAAGAGACTTTTTTTTTCACTGGAGGTCAAACTGAGAATGATTTGATTAAAAAACAAATCCCAGCTGCCCTGAGCTAGCTATGTGCTGTCCTGCTGTTCCCAAGCTCCACTGTCCACTGTCCAGCCACCACTCTGCCATCTTCCACCAGGCTTGTCACACAAGCAGCAACCAGACAGAAGCCTAGTATAACTGTCTGAGAGGCTTCATCCAGCAGTGGATGGAAACAGATGCAGAGACCCACAGCCAAACATCAGGTGGTACTTGAGGAGTCTCGTGGGAGAGTCGGGGATAGAACTTAGCAAGTGAAAGGGGTCAAGGACACCATAAGAAGACCTAAAGAGTCAACTAACCAGGGCCCATGGGGGCTCACTGAGATTGAACTACCAAACAAAGAGCATGCAGGGGCTGGACTTGGACCCTTGACATATTCACAGAAGATGTACAGTTTGGTCTTCATGTGGGTCCCCTTAACAGACGGAGTGGAGATCTTCTCTGACTCTGTTGCCTGACATTGGATCCCCTTCTCCTAACTGGACCCCCTGGTTAGGCCTCAGTGGGAGAGGATGTGCTTAGGTCTACTATGACTGGATATCCCAGGGTTGTGTGGTACCCAAAGGGGCTTCCCTTTCTCTGAGGAAATGGGGAGGGGGTAATGGGAAGGAATTTTTTTAAAAAAGAAAAGACAGATGTTTAATAAATAAAAATATCTTATTAAATTAATGCATTACAATGACAATCAGATGAAAAATAAAATTTCCATTTATGGTTATACACAACACAAAAGAATAAAGTGCCATACCAATCCAACACCATAAGATGGTATTAAGATTTCAAATAAAATGAATAAATAGAACGTGTTGCCCAGCCAGATCCTTTCTTAAACTTCATACAAACATGACATTAACATGAGAATCATCCCTTAAATAAGCATGTGTGAACAGGTAACAGAAGGAGTACCACTGGGGGTTCTGATATGCCAGTCTTTGAGACAGGATCTCACTACGTAGCTCTTGCTGGCTTAGAACTCACTCTAGAGATCAGGCTGGCCTCAAACTCACAGAGATCCACCTGCCTCTCCCTCTGCCTCTGCCTGCAACTGGAGACATGCGCCAACCAACCCTGCCTGTTTCTTCAATGTTGACATGTGGCAAAACAAAGAAAACTGTAAGAAATTTCTAGGTTCTTCTTCCCCTCCACACCCAAGAGAACACTGATTCTCAAGGCCTCTAGGAAATACTATCTTAGAGGCCCTCGTGGTGAGGAGAGGAGGTGGCCTTCAAGGGTTCACACAGAGCTAAGGGGCTTTTCCAGAGCAGCCAGCAGTCAAGGAGCAATGCTGACATTTCCAGGGAGAATCTGTAATAACCGAGTAGAGCATCTGTGTTTGAGAAAAGAAGTGAGGGAAGAAACAAGAATGGCTCCAGATCTACTTCTGCTATGGAGATACAAACAAAGCTCCCCCTTGGTACTGGGTTGACTCAGTATGCCCTGGGGACTCATGGTCTTCCTTTGAGAAGACACAGAACAAGCTAAACACAAACTTGGTGAGTATGTGCTTTATAAATGGTGTCTACCAATACAGGCAGCAGTATCTGGCCTAGACAGTGTGAGAGGTGCCTAGAGGAATGGGAAGAAAAAAAAAACCCTAGATATGAGGCAGTTCCCTTTAGATCAGTTCTGGAAGCAATATAAGTATCAATACATTAAATAAAAAGGGCAAAGTACACAGAATATGCACACTGAGCTACCATTTAGAGATAGATAGGTAGGTAGATAGATAGATAGATAGATAGATAGATAGATAGATAGATACTTTAACATATATTTCTATATATTAACTGTCTTTGGGAAAATATATGTGCAAAAAACAATAGTAGTTGCTTCTGGGAAAGAAGTATCGTGGGTAGGCTGATGGAATTTTTTTTTCCTCTCTTGGGGACCACTCTGAGTCAGTTCCCTGTCAATTTGTGTTTGGAATGTATGTGTGTCCGTGTGCAGGAGGGTGCACTTAGGTGTGTATTTGGACTGTGTGTGTGTGTGTGTTGGCATCATTTCTCATCTCCTGTAAGCCTGGAGCTTACCAAGCAAGGCAGGTTGGTCACTGAGGCATCTGCCTGTCTCTGCCTCCCTAGTGCACAGATATACGCAGCTGTTTTTTATGTGAGTTCTGGGAATAAAACTCAGGGTTTCACACTTGTGAGGAGAGTATTTTACCAACTGAGCTATCTCCTCAGATGTCAATACCATTTAAATAGGAAAATAATTTTTAAAAATTCAACAAGAATGTATTCAACAAGACTAGACCCTTTCTGGAGAACATGAGATTGTACGGCAAGGAAAACAACCAGAGGTTGTTATATAATGCTAGACAACGAGCTGGAGAGTTACTTTCCAGTGTGTTGAAAATGCAGACTCCTTGTTAATGAACATTGCTTCAAGTACTGAACACAAGCAAATCCGACCTGTACTCTGGCTTACATCTCTATGCTCAGAGGACAGCACAGTGCACATGGCATGATGTACAATGCTACTTAATAAACAGTTTTTAAATTAATTTCTTAGCTACAAATTCTATCCTGAAAGGACAGTGGCTGAAGAACAGAAATCTGAGAGCTGTTATTCTGTGGGCACGTTGCTTAGTCACTCAGCTTCTTAGCTGTGAAGTGAGTATTACAGAGGTTAGCACATGGGTTGCTATGGTGGTGAGGGTTGCTACGGTGATGAGCTAAGAGTTTGAGTGTTATACCCGACACCTGTAAGATTGATACAGAACGACTGCTACTGCAGAGCCTCGAGGATTGAGAATAAAGATTATTCAAGTCAGACAGCAAGAGCCAGTCAAACACCCATGTGACCTCCATGTTTCCTGCTGGTACTAGTAGTTCCAGAGGATGCTAAGCAGCAGTTGAGTTTCGTGACTACATTTTAACATCATGTCTTCAGAATTCACCAGTCATAACCACATGCCCACAGCAAGAACACACAGACTCAAAATAAATAGAAGGCACTCATACTGCAACACTCATGACTCTGTCTCTCATCCCGACACTGGGTAGAGGAAAAGGTCACTTGTGCAAGGACCAGCTGTTAAGTCAGGACTTCTCAAGTCATTTTCCAAGGTGACTGATGGGCGACTTGCTTAGCAGTGTCTTCTGCAGAAATGTCCTTTGTCCCAGGCTCCTCTTCTAACACTTTTTTCTCTCGGTTCTCTTCTCTTCTCGGGTTCCATTTTGAGTCCTTGGACCCATGTCCCATGGGCCCCCTTCTTTCACAGACTACAAGCTGCCAATCCTGCCTCGACGATCAGAGGGTTCAGCACTGCTTACGTCTCCTCGAACTGTGTATCTGGAGAGTGACCATAGTATAATAATTTCACAGGGTCAGGGAATATGGGGGGGAAGCATATGGTATGTAAGAAAAATAAATTTGATGTCTGCTAGAGCATATAATAATGTTGCAGTAAGACAGAAACAAATTCTACCTATGTCTGACTACACTTACATGATGAAGGATGACTAAGCATCCTTGCTTGTCTGGGACTGCCCTGGTTTTAAAATGGAAAGTGTGCTGGGCTGAATGAAATCCTCGGTCCTGAGCAAGCAAGGCTGGTTCCTCATGGTGATTCAGCAGGATAAGCAGTAACGTGCATGAGGGAACCTGCTTGGGTCTGCCCAAGTTAGTCAAACCACTTTAATCCTAGGCTTACTGTTTCGTTTCTAACAACATTAAAATGAATTAGAAACAATATAACTTATTAAAAAATAGTTCAGTTGGCCGATTCAGCGTTTTTCACTCTTATTAGACATTAGGGGCAGAATAAATTGAAGCACGTAGCACAAGAATGGACGTCTGTGGTAAGTCTGTGTGTTCCTAAGTGCCTCACGTTATCTTCTCAGGCCTGTTTTCTCTACTATAAAATAGAGATGATTCTCATATTTATCTGACTGTTTGGGGGCAAGGTGATGAAATGAAATGCCATATCCTACACATGAAACAGTTAACAGCTAACCACGCAACAGAATCATTTGCTTAACTGCCCATTCAAATAAATCAACCGTGTCCCTGGTTGCAGGGCTACCACACAGATGCAGCAGTAGCAGCAGCAAACCCAGAATTTCCTCAGATGTGGGAATTCTGAGGCAGAGGAGCCAGCAGCCCCCATAAACAGCCTCCTTTAAAAGGAGGGAAGATCATGACTAGCAGGTTTCTCTTGTCACAGTAACTTTTTCTGTTCTTCCTTTTGCTTTTTTTTTTTTTCTCCTGTGTGGTTCAGGCTGGCCTACAACTCCCTATCCTCCTGCCTCAGACATGATGCTTGGTTGCTCTGTCCCTCGAGTTCCCTCAGTTTGCCTTCTCTTCTGTTACTCACACTTACCATTTCGGGTTTGTGAGTTTGTATCTTTGATGCCACATTTTTCCACATCTAGCATTCTCACTAAAGAAGAAGAAATCAATCTTAATTCCTCATAGCAAGATGCTACTACATCCCACAGGGACACGACTTTCAACGTAAGGTTTTTAGGAGACACTGATTAATCCCTAATCACCAGGCTTTTAGTCCGAAAACTTCTTTATTTTAGGTCTCAAACCGTAAAGTTAATTATTCAACAATTTAGGGCACATACTTTGATTCTCAGATGGTTCTTAGGGCTGTCTACTTTGTTTCCCACACTTTCCTCAGAGATGTCCCGTCCCACATCCTGAGTTATCTCATCACCTACCAACTCTCTGCTTTTCTCATCTTCAACCAAACTTTCCAGATGCTATTTGGCAACGACTGCTTCCTTGTGCAAGTCCCAGGCTAGTCCTAATCCAGATGTGTCACTGAAGCTTAATCCTCACATCCTGGCAACTCTGGCTTATTCTCTGGAAGTTTTGCTACCTCCCCAGTTACAACACTTTCCTCATACACCCGCCCTCCGGAAGGGTAGTGGGGAATTCCTCTCTGACGATCATGCTCCCTCCCATATTCTATTTCCCTATTTGGCTTCAGGCAAGTCCACATACCATTGGCTCACTCCATATACATTTCACCGTATTGGTGAAAAGGTTTACTCTAAGTCATCTTACATCGGGAAGGCATTATTTGAATATATTTATTTTTCTAGATTTTAGTCATTCTTATGGGTTAGTACTGAAATCAATATATGGAAATTAATTAAAAATTATGTCATTTTGTCTTCAGAAATCTTGAAAAAAAAATGCTTTGTGGTAAAGATACCACAGCTCTTTGCAGACAGAAGTGTTTTCTCTCTTAGGGTACCCAGAACCCAAAACCCAGCTCAATAGGATGTTGTAAGGAATATAATACTTGAAGTTCAACTGGAACCAACAGGCACCACAGTGCTCTGTCTTCAGAGTCTGTAAAAAGAAACCTTATGGCTTTCTTCTTCAGCCTCCGTTGCTACCCATCCCCCACCCCTTACCTTCAATTCCAATTAGAGCGTCTTCCTTGTTGTCTAAACTTGTGTGCTGCCCAGCTTTATTGTGAACCGCTGAACAGTGAGCCTCACAGCGCCCCCTTGATAGCTAAGTCTTTTAGCTTCCCTAAGCCCTTGTCCAATTCACACCTCTCCAAATTACAACAGGGTCCAACACCACACTCCCATGGTAGGAGATGCTTCAGAGCAACAATACAAGCAGGACTTAAGGAAGACTCAGCACTCCAGAGGCACTGCTAACTGAAAGGCAGCCTGTGTAACTGAACGATAGCCCAGAGAGGGGAAGGCAACACCTTTCAAGTCAGTGTTTCCTGGAGCGGTTCTGCTACTGTGCAGGATTGGACAGCACCCTGTGATGTGGGGCTGCTCTTTTCAAGTCAGGGTAGGACCTCTCTGGCACTGCCTGCTCAAGGTCATGGTGAAAGGACTTTCCTGTGGGCAGTGCAGCAATGGAAGAAATACCTTGTTTTCTCAAGCAGAAGAAGACCGTGGACACTACAACCAGGAACAAGAGAATGGATCCCAGAAGCACCCAGTGAGTCCTGTTACGTGGGGTATGTGCTGCAGGCCATTCTGAAAAAGAATAAAGAGAAGTTGACAGAGGTAAAGCTTTGCTGGGAAATAGTCAGGAGAATGATCACTCCTGAAATCTAGCTTGGCTTTAGGGTGATCTTCATTACTGAAAGGTAATGGCCGGGGAAGGGTTGGAAGGAGAAGACATGTCTCCTAAGAAACTGGGAGCAGCACAGAGAACTCCAGACCTGTGACATGTTTAGCATAGTGCCACAGAAAGTGACTGTAATACTAAATGGTAACCTTAATGCAGTAACTCCCTTGCACACTCTTTAATATGGACACTAACAGCCGACTTGGTGTGGAAGGCCGACTCCGGGACATGAGAGAACAGGGGCACTGTTAAGCAGCTTCTGTCTTCCACACCTCTGGTCAAGATCAGGGACCACTGCGTGTTGGTTTTCTTCCATGTTTGAAACTCTTGGGCACTCTAGTCATTGGCTTCTCCCTGATACCCTGTCTGGAGTTTTGTGAAAGAGAAAAACGGGTCCCATGGCTCTGGGATGCTCTGGGATTGCTAGCCCATCTCTTGTCATAACTCGGCTCCTATCATGGGTTCATCATCCCTTGTTTGTTTTGTCTTTGAGGCAGGGTTTCTTGCAGTCCATACTGGCCTTGAACTTGCTATACAGCTGAGGACGACCTTGAACTTCTGAGGCTCCTGCTTCCACCACCCAAATGTTTGGATGATAGGTGAACCCTATATAGTGAAGTTTATATGGCGCTGGGGTCAGATCTCTGTGGATGCTAGGCAAGAGTTCTTCCAACCGAGAGATGTCTCCAGCCTCATAAAACATTTAATGGCAGGAAACCAGCAATACAGCTTTTACAGAAAGATGCCTTCCTTTTTTTGTTTTGTTTCTTTGTTTTTTTGTTTTTCTAAACTTGTGTGGTCCTTTTGGCTCCAAGCCCATCCTGGGCTGTATTTTTCACATTGGTTGACTTTCTAATGTAGTTTTATTTATCTTCTCTAAACTTCATAGAGCTGTCTCTAAACTTCAAAGTATTGTTGACATACACTGGGGAGATAGATGGAGGCAGAAGCAATTCTCCTCAGAGTACCTCTGGATTTATATTCCTGTAATGGTCTGAGCCTCTCATCAGACTGTCTCCCATCCCCCCTGTTTCAGAATCTGAATTTTAAAAACAGCTGAATTCTCAAATGACTTTCATATACTCATTTTCTACAGCTCGTTCTATCCCTACAATACCCTTGCCTGGGGAGTTATAACCCAGCTAGTAGGTTGCTCATAGACATAAGCTTCATGTGCTATACACAGGCAGACTTCAAGGAGTTGAACTATCAGAGAACGCCCTGAAGAGGAGGATGGGAGGAAAGGCCCCTTCCTGCTGGATTTTAAGATACAAAAAACCCAATGCATTTGTTTCCTACTCCAGCAGCCCTGGAGGGAAGAGAGCAGCTTTGATGTGGCAAGGTTTACATTCCTGAAGCAGAGGCAGAGTCCATGTTGCCTGTGGTACTCCAGTTACAAGAGCATTTCCTACACGCAACTGTCACCCATTTCCTGGAGCACAGTGACTTATGTCCTATTCATCTACAAATACTCAATGACTAACATACAGTCTGTCAGGAGCAAATACTTAATTCTTGCTGAATGTTCCTCAAGTAGCATTAGGGCTTACACGCAAGAGAAAGAGGAAATAGAACACATCTAGCAAATGTAAGTGTAATGTATTCATACACTCAGTCAACTATTGCTAAATGACTGTGACAGAGGCCATCATGCTAGGAGTCCGGAAACAGGAAACTCACCTGGGATGATCAGCTCGGCTGTGTAGTTCTCCCCTGACTGTAATCTCCAAAAGGTACAGTAGAAGACATCATTAGCTGTTGTGTTGACCCTCAGACTGCTGGTCACATTGAGAAGCTTCTCCTCTGTCTGGGAAGTGGTGACAGTTTTCTTCCCACTCAGGGACTGGCGGTCACTGTTTGTCCAGGTTACTTCAGCTTCTGGGTAACCCTCAGCCTGACAGATTAGTTCATGCTCAGAAGTGGCTGGATCCACGGAAATTCTTTGGTTGATTTTGCGGTACGGGGCTAGGTCAGAAGCAAAAAGAGGTCAGGGCTCTCCCATCTTTGGGCTAGACACACGGCTTTGTGGTGTCTGCTTACAAAGAGTATCAACTCAGGCTGGTTATTGGAGAAATATGTCTCCAGCTCTGCTATTTTGACAGCAGGGAGTGGGTGTTAGCCTGCCTCCTGTCTTCTGTTCAAATCTGGGCCATGTTCGGGCTTCAGGAACAACCTCATTGTTGTAAAAACCATATCAGGGTGTTTACTGACCTCAAACTAAATGTACCAAATTAAGTAAACTGTTATCTAGAAGCCACAGGTCTTTCTACCTAAGTATAAATAAAACATATCTATTTCCTTAGCAGTCATTGTCCTACTCATGATTCTTTAGTGAGCCACACAGAGCCCGGGATAGAGACTGAGATCCCCACTCCATTACCAAAGACATAATAAGAGCTTTGTAACAGGGTATTGTCACAGAAACTTGACACAGAGTAGCTAAGACAAAGCAAAGCTGTAATATGTTTGGATGCCCATGAACCAAGAAAACGACCACCAAGAAAACAGGTATAATTATGATTTCAAGTAATAGCTTTGATGAGCACAACAATTTGTGTTGTATTTATCACATTCAAGAACAACTGAAGATGAGACCACGATACATTAGTAAATTGGCACATCAGGAAATAATGTCACGGCAATAGGGTCTACGCTGACATGTGGCCCGTGACTTAATTTTTCTGGGAAGTTAAAGGATTAAATTTAAAATCACTGTCAATGATAAAACATTCAGAGTGAAATATCTGCTTTCCATTTTTGTTTTTCACACGTGATGACGGAAGGAGAGCTGTGTTTCATCAGGAAGACCATGGTGAGCAGCTGATGGTGAATTCATCCACAGCTGACTAAACCTCCACAGCCTCCATCTCTAAGGTGAGCATGTCCATGAGGACACAGGCAGGAAACACCAAAATCTCCACCTGCACGTTTGCTATAGGATCTGTAAAATTATTTATGCCTCATAAACATTGATGGCTGTCACTCAGTCTTAATGTCTGCTACAGGAAGAGGGGAGGGCATCGATTCATATTTGGGTTACTGTAGATTTTTCCAATTCTCCTGTCTATTTTTGTTTTGTTTTGCTTTTGAGGAAGAGTTGCATGCAGACTAGGCTAGCCTTGAATTTGCAGTGTAGTCACAGGTAACCTGCCTCTACCTCCTGAGTGCTGGGGTCACAGAAAACTGTGTGCCACTGCATGTGGTTTTATGCTGTGCTGGGAATCACATCAGAACTTCATGAATGGTAGGTAAATACTCTACCAACTGAGTTACAGGCTCGTCCCTCTTGTCTACTTTTAACTGAACTCACCATCTTTAAAAATAAGCGCAATATTAATATATATGTATATATATATATATATTACATTTTCAGAGTGTACCATGTGTCAGATTGACTCAACCACATGCAATCAGTGAGTCATTTCCTTTTGATCTTTACAGTGACAATTTCTTATAATACAAACTATATATATATTGGTACCAAATATATCCTTTATAATAACATACAAGTTTATAGCACCTAAAGACAGAGTAGACAAGTTTTGTTTGTTTGTTTTCAATCCTCTGGTTTAGCTGTAGAACACTGCCACTACTGTGATCAAAACCAGGAAAAGTTCAAGTCACTTGTAAAGCCTTTCTGTATCTTGATACACACTCCAGAGGAACAAAGATAGGCAGCAAAGCAAGGTTAGGAAGGGTGTAGATTTTAGAGATGGACTAGTTAGGTTCAGAACCTGGCTTTATGATTTTATCGGGGTAGAATTTAGACAAATTGCATTATTCCTTTGGTCCTCAATTTTTAATGCCTTAAAATGGGAACAACAATGCTACATACCATTTAATCTAAGATGCCACCTATGGAAAGACACATTCAGATTTGAAGGATATAAATAGGGGGGGAAAAAAGCAAGCAAACAAACCATGGTCATGAGCAAGTGCCTCCCCCAGAGTCATGTTAAAGATTAAATGAATTCATATGAGCAAGAAGCCCAGGGCACGACCTCACACATTATAGGTGTTCTGTGAGTGTTAATTATAACAGTTACTCCTGCTGTTCGTAGGCAGATTAGGAGGACCGTGAGCACAGCTGTGGAGGATCATGAGCACAGCTGTGGAGGACCGGGAGCACAGCTGTGGAGGACCGGGAGCACAGCTGTGGAGACCATAAGCACAGCTGTAGAAGACCGTGAGCACAGAAATTTCCTCCCATTTTCCATCACTACTTCAGTGGCTCATGAGGAACAATCTAAAATTTCCCACATTCAAGCCTATTCATATAGCAAATATTTAAGTCAATCGGTTTTTTTTTAAAAGCATTCCTTCAACAAACTCTGTTTTCTTTTCTTATTATACTGGAACTTCATTCTATGTCAAGGCCAAGGAGTACAACAATAAAGTCAACCACAACCCCTGCCCCTGCCCCTAGAGTTTGTGCTCAAGAGAAGGAAGGAGACAATAAATATGATGTGCCGAGACATCTTAGATATGGATATAGAAAAGATTTAAACAGGGCTGGGGGATCTGGTGAGCCACAAAAGTCCTTAATTGTTGAGCCATGTGACTAAAGTGTTTCTTACAGCTGCTTAGTACCATCAAATGGACACGTCACTCTTTTCTGATATTAAGTTCGGTGTTTAAAGCCGAATGTTTTTCAATTAAAAGCCAGATGCCTGAGGGTCTTCTGTAAACCTCTGAAGGTATAACAGTATCCAAAGAGATGATAAAAACTGAGTTAATCCAAAACTACACTCTTTCAGATTTCAGTTTTGAAATGCTTCACCTATAAAACCCCATGGTGAGTGAACTCCCTGCAGGGAAGCTTCACACCACAGGCTGGCAGTGATGGGAAGACGCCAGCAGCCTTGCTGTGAAATCATTTGCATAGGGCATAGTTCAGGAGTTCTACTTCCTTGCCATGGAAACCTTTTACATGCCAGCCACCACGGTGCTAGAAACTGAAACCAGGGTCCTATACATTCTGGGCAAGTATTCTACCACTGGGCATGTCCTCAGTCCTGTTCCTAGTATTTATTTATTTATTTATTTATTTATTTTATTTAATTTATTTAGAGAAAGGATCTTGCTACATTGCCCAGGCTGCTCTTGAACCTGCTATCTGATCGTAGTGCAGACAAGTCCTAATTGTGTGATTCTCCTGCCTCAGTCTCCCACATAGCTGGGATTACAGATTTGAGCCACAACACCCACCAAAGCCAAGGTTCAGAATCTCGGTCTAGACCAGTGAACCTCCCAAAGCTGCATGCAAATGGCAAGATGAACTGGGAGTAAAATGCCAACGGAGAGAGTTCTAAAAGAAAAGGCAATAGTCACACAGGCCTTCAAGTTGGCTTGGTCATCGGCTTTGCCCCATCAAAGATCCCTCCATGGAGAAGCCATCAGCTCCAGAAGGTTGTCTTTGGTATCAAAGATATCATTGAGCAGATAATCTAGAGTAAATTCTTCCTCACCACAAAGTCACCTACTCCTAACAAACCATGAGACCTCTGGACACAGAGACTTACACTCTGCTTCCTTCTTCCTGACTGCTAGCATCGAGCTCCTTCCCATGCCCAGCAACCTTGACTTCAAATGTCTTGGAACAAAACAGAAGCCTGCTATTTGCTGATGTACTAGTACATGCTCTAGATACTAACAGTCATATCCCGAGTCTCCTTTCATGAATGTCACAAATGAAGAATTATAAACGAAAGGTAATGGAAGTTAAAGCCAAGCAACAAAATAAGACAAGTGACATCTTTATAACCATGGAGGCGCTAAGCGATCCAGCATCAGAGACCCATTAATATACTGTTGAATGGTATATTTTCCCTAATCTCTACATAATTTTGAGTTAATAACTGTCACGATCCTTTATGAGAAACATGAATTTTTCCTATTTATAATATTGACCTTCACACTAGTTTAGGAATAAAAAGATCAAAGGAGACTATCTAATTCTAGCCAAATAGTTTTAAAGTTATTATGAAAACCAAAAGGAGCGGGCAGATCATCTGCAATGTCTGCCTGGAGAAGACGGGCTCAGCTGAGTGTCGAGCAGGCAGGAGTTTCCGCAGACCACGGAAGGGACCAGAGTCGAGGGACACCACTGTGGGAGGGAGGCATATGAAGAAGAGAGCCCTGGGGATTTCTGGTCCTGGTAGGCATTTGCACAGGCCTGGGACAAGCGAAGCGCTCAGGCCTGCACAGGCAGCCCAACAGTGAAAGCAGGGGTGGTTAGTAAGGTGTTTTCCTTCCCTTAGTTCCAACCCAAAACTTTGAACTCAAGTGACTTGATGACATTTCTGTGGCTTGTTATCCAGGAACTTACACTCATGGTTCCTCCTCAGCACTCCCAGAGATACAGGCCCTCAAAATGAATGTACACCTGCTGACTACAGCCTGACCATCTCCGTAGAAGAATGGCTTCTTCTACACTTAAGACCCTCATTTCTCATCCTTTAGGGATTAACCTTAAGTTGTTACCCTTACAGTAGAGGATATAGCTAGACAGATAAAATAGACAGATAGATATAAAGGTAGATATGCACATGTATATACATATATATTGTATTTATATATAATAAGTGTATATATGTATAGGTATGTGTGTATATATTAAACTTTGCATGATATATGATATATACATATATATTAAAGTTTGTATGAAGATAGTCAAAGGAAGGAAAATGTGCTAAGCCTGATATAATAAATATAAACAGAAATCCAATCGAAAAGTTATAAAGGGATGTACAAATAGTAGTTTATATATATATATATGTGTGTGTGTGTGTGTGTGTGTATGTGTGTGTGTATGTGTGTGTATATACATATATACATATATATGTGCTATGGAAGATGGTGCTTAGGGAGCAGGGACATTTCTATGATTCTATTTCTTTCCATGATATCCAAATTACTTGTAAATATATATCTATGTGTGTGTGTGTGTATGTATACATGTTTACAAGTAATTCAGAAAGCTTGCAGAGATGAAATGTCCGGTTTTTGCTTTTTATCATAAATGCAATATATATAATTATATATAGTATAGTATACATTATATATTATACATTATAAAATATATACACATATATCTTATTGTATATTACATAGTTATATATATATACATTTGCATTATGATAAGAAGCAAACACCTGGCATTTCATCTTTACAAGCTTATGGTACTGCAGAGCATGGCTGTGTATTATCTGGTACTGAATGTCAAGTCACGGTGAAACACACGGTGCTAGGTGTTTTCACTGGTGGAGTGTATGAACGAACGAATGAGTGAACGAGCGAGAAAAAGAACAGATTGCTGTTGTTCTGTGAGAAGTGGGTGTGAACTTCCAAGGATGAAGAGCTCACAACATTAGGGAGATGTTTTAAATAAAGACGAAGCCTTCCTCATCCGGGTAATTCTTACCGTCGACTTTCACTGTGATTCGCTTGTAGTCCGCACCGCCATAGCTGATCATGCAGCAGTAGACGCCTGCGTCGCGAAGCTTCACGTCTGTGATCTGAAGCGCAGCATTGCCCTTCAAAAGCTGCTCCTTCGGCAACGAGGCTCTCCCCCTGAAGCTGCTGTGCTGATACTTTAGGTCCTCCTCCCCCTCCACAAACTGAATAACTTGCTCATCTTCCTTCTCCCAGTACACCACTAACGCAAGCAGGTCCAGTTCCTGTTCTACTGGGAATCTGCATTCAATCGTGACATTGCTGCCATACTCCACCACGTACAGGTCCTTTGGAGCCGTGATAGTAAAAGCTGAAAAGGAAAGAGGAACAGCCTTCAGAGGACAAAAAAACTCCTCCAAACACACTTGAAAAAATGAGTAAAAGGTTACCACCACTTTATCTAGTGAATCACATGAACACTAAAATTTTTCTTTAAAATAACTTCACGGGGGGGGGGGGAACACAAGCAATCTAGATTTTCCATTTTTTATTGGGTATTTTCTTTATTTACATTTCAAATGTTATCCTCTTTCCTGGTTCCCCACCCCACCTCAGCCCCTGAAACCCTCTATCCAATCCCCCCTCACCCTGCTTCTAAGAGGGTGCTCTCCCACCTACCCACTCCCACCTCCCCACCCTGGTATTCCTCTACACTGGGGCATCGAGCCTTCACAGGACCAAGGGCCTCTCCTCCCACTAATGCCCGATAAAGCCATCCTCTGCTACATATGTGGCTGGAGCCATGGGTCCTTCCATGTGTACTCTTTGGTTGGTGGTTTAGTCCCTGGAGCTCTAGGGGATCTGGTTGGTTGATATTATTGTTCAAGATACAATTCTCAGACCACATGAAGCTCAAGAAGAAGGAACACCAAAGTGTGGATGCTTTAGTTTTTCTTAGAAGGGGGAACAAGATACTCAAGGGAAGAAATGGGGAGACAAAGTGTGGAGCAGAGACTGAAGGAAAGGCCATCCAGAGACTGCCCCACCTGGGCATCCATCCCATATTTAGTTACCAAACCCAGACACTATTGTGGATGCCAAGAAGTGCTTGCTGCCAGGAGCCTGATATGGCTGTCTCCTGAGAGGCTGCCAGGGCCTGACAAATACAGAGGCGAACTGAGAACCGGGTCCCCAGTGGAGGAGTTAGAGAAAGGACTGAAGGAGGTGAAGGGGTTTACAACCCCATAGGAAGAACAATATCAACCCAGTCTTGTTTAAAAGGAACCAATAAATAAAAACATATTATCCGCAAGACCTCTCCCTTGGATTTTCAGTAGTCACTCATAAGAAACAGATCATCTGTCAGTTCTGTATTACTTATATTTTATATTCATCCCCTGGGGGTGGGGGGTGGGTTTGTTCATTCGTTCATTTGATTCTGGTGCTGGGATTGCATCCAGAGCTTTGTATACTCCAGCCAAGTGTCCTACAACTAAACCACACCCACAGCTCCTGTATTTTCCTTCTTCTTTCACAAGTAACGTATTTATGAAGAAGAAGAACTAGAATGTGCTTTTTATAAGCAAAGTATATTCCTTTGAATTATCTTAGGGGATGGAGTGATCACTCAGTAAGTAAGTGACTTGCTGTGCAACACAATGACCCGAGTTCAAATCCCCGGAGCCCAGGTAAAAGCCAGGTGCAGTAGCATGTGCCTACAAGCACAGTGGGCTGGGAGGTGGAGACAGGAGAACCCCGAGAAGGTTTTGAGCCAGCTGGTCTACAGTACTCAGCAATGAACAAAAACTAAAGAGACCTTGCCTAGCAAATACACATACACACATACTCCTTCAACACACACACACACACACACACACCCCTCATATACATACACATGCCCCACAAATTAATTCCATTTTTAAGTCATGGCTAAAATATTGAAAATATAGAACCCACTGAAAAGATTTGGTGACTTACCCCGTAGCAAGTGACAGCAAGCTGTGAATATAATAACAGCAAATGTCCTCATGTTTTCGGAATTATCTAGTAACAGGAAACACAGAGAGAGGTCTGCTTAATTCAATAGCTGAGCAACGAGACACATATATAAATAAGCCCTAAAAGCCAGTCCAGAAAGCACAGATGAGCCAACTAGAACTGAAGCCACTCTGCTGGCTGGCCAACGACCGATTTGCAAGTGTGGAAACACAGGTGCAAGGTTGAAAGTTCAAGGCTTTCATTTTGTAACTCTAAGCCATGTAGAACCAAGGGAAAAGAAATCAGTACGGTGTGATGAGCATCTTTACATTGAGTTATAAGCCCCCCCATTGATAATGTACATTCAAAATCAACCAAGAACCCCCCAACTCCCCCCCACAAACTATATCATACATTTTTCAACATTTAAATATATTTGAAAACTAAAGCCTGCTTTAGGCAAAGCTTCAAAGCCGAGACAATCCAGTTTTCACTTTCACTTTTCAATGCTTCCTCCTCCCCCCCTTAAAATCTCACCTCTGCCTCTCACCTATTCCAAATGATAATTCTTTTCCCCAGTAAAGAGAGCACAGGTGTGGGAAGGAAGGAGAAGGCGATCTGGCCCGTTTACTCTAAGGTCTGGATGTCTCAGAATCACTTCCTGAGATTGAGCTGCCTGAATCCTAGTCTCTCCTCTGCTGAACGTTTTCCTAATTCACTCAGCAAACACTGAGTATCTTTTTCTGAGTCTGGCACTGTTCTGGGCACGGCTGGAGCAGCAGGGAGGAAACCGAAGCCATTTTTCCTTGAAACTGATGTCTTACGAGGGTGGTCGAAGGTGAGTGCTACATTCTAGTCAATCTAATAAGCAACATTTTCCCCTTCTGTGTAATTCACATGTTTACAACTTTCATGGGACAGTCAGTTTTTCCTCCTAGTGTCTCTCTGACCTGTGTGCTCACTCAGTCTGACAGGTGTATAAAGCCAACAAGTAAGGCTTCTGGCATCCAGCCTCTAAAACTCAGTGAGAAAACTATACATCCAACAAGAGGAAAACGAACAAGAATCTCACATAGCTCAGAGAATAATACATAAAATTGGAAAGAATGCTCTCGATAAGAAAGTATAAGGAAGATCTGTGATAACATTTGGACCTTTTGCTCTACCAAAATTATAGATTCCTCATAGGTAGTGTTAGTGAAGATACAGTCACAATTTCTTGACCTTTATTGGTAAGGCTGTGAAATTGTATAGCTTCTTAAAGGTCAATTTGGTAACCTGTTAAAACTATAACTCATATGATCTCTCTATTCCAGTCTTAGAAACTCATCCTAGAAAAAATAAACTCCTATGTAACAGGGATGAGGCAGCTAACAATAATCCCAGACTTGAAATACCCCATGTATTAGCTAATAAAACTGTATATACTGAAAATACCAAGAGGGAAAGAATTTAGTACATGCATAAGGAATGATTTTGCAAAGAAGTAGGAAGGAATTTAGAGGTCAGAATATGAAGCAAAAATATACTTGTGTTATAGAACAGTCCCACCCATCTTGAAGACACTGCCTGACAGTGATTATCTGCAAAGGTAATTGTGACTTTTATAAGGAGGACAGTTAAGTTCTTATTTATTTATTTATTTATTTATTTATTTATTTATTTATTTGGTTTTTCGAGACAAGGTATCTCTGTGTAGCCCTGGCTGTCCTGGAACTCACTCTGTAGACCAGGCTGGCCTCAAACTCAGAAATCTGCCTGCCTCTGCCTCTCAAGTGCTGGGATTAAAGGTGTGTGCCACCACTGCCCAGCACATTTATATTTTTAAAAAAGATTTATTTACTTATTTTTGTGTATATGAGTACACTGTAGCTGTCTTTAGACACATCAGAAAGGACATCAGATCCAATTGCAGATGGTTGTGATCCACCATGTGGATGCTGGGAATTGAACTCAGGAACTCTGGAAGAGCAGCCAGTGCTCTTAACTGCTGATCCATCTCTCTAGCCCACATTTATACTTTTTTAAAGGGAGAAAGAAAGATAGAAAACGAGAGATGAAATCATATTTTTTTCTCTATTTTTTGAGTGAATAAACATTTTCCTTATACTATTGGGAAAAAAAATCATTTCTTGTGAAGGACCCTAGAACTGGAGCTCAAACATCTTCACTAAGGCAGGATGGCCCTTTCAGTTTATTTTTATGGTTTGTTGCTGTTGTTGTTGTTATAAAAAATTAATGTAAGCACATTACAAGCACATTCTCCATTAGGGAACATTTGGTAATATTGCCTAACATATTTATTAGTTGCCAAAGCTTGCTTGGGAAAGAGGAGAGCTGCTACTGGTGTGAAGAAATAGAGACCCTAGATGCTGCCAAGACCCCGCCCCCAAGACCCCCCCCCCCAAAGCTGCAGAGATTGAGAAGGCCTACAGCACCACCAGTGCTAAGCTGGAGAAACGGTGACCACTCTCAGCACGTCTGTCAGTAGTTTCCGTTCGCCTTTTTTCTCTACCCTTTTAAAGATTGATTTATTTTATGTTGAAGAGTGTTTTGTCTAGGACTGGAGAGATGTCTCAGAGGTTAAGAGCACTGGCTGCTCTTCGAAAAAGTCCTGAGTTTAACTCCTAGCAACCCTATTGTGACTTACAACCATTCTATAATGAGACCTGGCGCCCTCTTCTGGGCTTCAGACATCCATGCAGGCAGAACCCTGTATAAATGATTAATAAATAAATCTGGTTTTGTTCTTGTTTTTGTTTTTTTAAGAATGTTTTGCCTGCTTGTATGTATGCTTACCAAATGTGTGCCTAGTGCCCTCAGAGGCCAAAAGAGGATGTCAAATTCTGTGAGGTGCGATGGCTGTGGGTCCCCTGGAAGAGCAGTAAGTGCTTTAAACCTCTGAGCATCTCTCCAGCCCCAGCTGTTTTACACATTTAATAGCCATTTTTTTTGTTGTTTTTGTTTTGTTTTGTTTTGTTTTGTTTTGTTTTGTTTTGTTTCAAGACAGGGTTTCTCTGTGTAGCCCTGGCTGTCCTGGAACTCACTCTGTAGACCAGGCTGGCCTCAAACTCAGAAATCCACCTGCCTCTGCCTCTCAAGTGCTGGGACTAAAGGTGTGCGCCAGCACTGCCCGGCTATTGCCATTTTTAAAATTTAAGATTGTGGCATAATTTCCACAAGTTTTGTGTTTAATGAACCCTTACTATTGAGCTCCTTTACTGTTACATGTTGGATCTCTTTGTCTCTTTTTTCAAAATCACAAGTATTTGTGTATTTGGCCAGTGTTTGGACAAGTACCAGTTGCATGCCAGGTCCAAGTTTAGATCTGTATCATAGACTTCCCTAAAGAGAACTGCTGATCTCTTTAAAACTATGAAAACTATGAAAACTGATACCACTGCATCTTCACTCAGCACTGACAGTACTTTTTAAGTTTCTCCCTTCCAGTTCAATTCTTGAAAAATACAACTTGATTTTTTTAAAATAAATATTTAGTTCTTCATAATTATCTGATTACTTATTTTGATTGTTAAGGTCATGGGCTTCTTATTGGCTATTATAAATCCTTGATGTTAGAAAAGGCCAGATGCATCCGGGCAGTGGTGGCGCACGCCTTTAATCCCAGCACTTGGGAGGCAGAGGCAGGCAGATTTCTGAGTTTGAGGTCAGCCTGGTCTACAGAGTGAGTTCCAGGATAGCCAGGGCTACACAGAGAAACCATGTCTCCAAAAAAAAGAGAGGAGGGGGGGGAAGGAAAGGAAAGAAAAAACAAGAAAAAGAAAAGGGCAGACGCAATAGCATCTGAGAGACTGGGGCAAGAAGATCTTGTGTTAGAGGCCAGCCTGGGCTATATAGTGAGACTCTGTCTCAAACAACAACAAAAACATGAAAATAAAAGCAAACAACAACAACAAAAGCAAAAATAAGCCAAACCAAACCAAGGACATTTACAAAAAAAAAAAAAAGCAAAATGCAAAAGCAAATGACTCATTATTAGGCACGTATCTCTGCAATTCATCTGCCCAGGCAAATGGGCAGGATGACATCCAGGCCTGTGAGGACAGTGTTGCAGTGAGGCTGTGGGAGAAATGGCCAAGCCGAGTACCAGTCACACCGAGGTACGTGACATCCATTGAAGGCTATGCCTAATTTTTCCAACGTTGATGGCAGATTCAGTTTGAACAGTAATCTACTGATTATGAGTCTGCTTTAAAAGTTTAGTATAAAACCTGAAAGGTGATGCGTTAGGTCTGACAGTCACCTTCTTCAGAATCATATCCTCTCCTCCCTGGCTCTCAGGGTGCAGCTGTGAGCAGTAGAAGAGAAAAAGAGGAAATTCAGGGACCATGTAAATCAGCATGGTCTTTGACCTCTAAACCTGCACCTCTTAGTTGAGTTAAGAGCACAGGATCTTCTTCTCCCTCTGGCAAGAAACTGTAACCTTTCACAAGTTCCCAGAGGAGATCTGAGAGCCTTTCACAAGACAACAGAGTATAAAGTGAAGAAATGGTGGCTCATTCAAGATGGGGAAATAGGTTTGTCCCAGGGGAAGTCCAGATGAAGATCATGGAACACCACTTCTCTATCTTCCCAGGGTGTGTTGTGGGGGGGGATGGATGGGAGGAAGCAGATGCAAGCTTCTTTTCTCAAAGGAAAGAGTGAAATTTTACCCAATTTTCAAATTCTATCAAATGATCATAAACTCTGTGCTCAAATTCCTCCCTTCTCCATCTGTCTTTAGAGTAACATGTAACCACTGCCGTGTCTTCCTGTCTCTGCTGCTCCGCTGGGAAAGGTGAATATTTTCAGAGAATAAAGTTCTCCTTAAACACTGCTGGTCACTGTCATGTCAATCATCTCATCCTCAGGTGGGTTTTTTTTTCCCTATACAAAGTCCTTTCAGATACTCAAACATAATGAAGTCCTTATACATATAAGAGTTTATCTAAATGAATACCCAGTTATATTCCAGGCAGTTACGTATTCAGATGATCAGTGGATGACTGAGAGTAAGGCACTGTAGCTAGCCTGTGCATTCATCTGTGGGAGAGTGATGCCCTTTAATTACCCAGCACAATGGAATACAGCAATTTAAAAAAAAAAACAGCTAAGTAATCCATAGGAAAGCACCTGCAATAATTTATTCAGATTTTAAAAAATAAGATAGAACACTGTACTTTTACCTCTTATGACAACCCCAACCTAAACTTTAAAATAGCTATGGTCACTGTGTCTAAGGACTGTTTGGGGCATTTTCTTCTAAAAATCCTTTAGGTTCTCTGGGCAGATAGAGTAAAAATCTTAAGCTTCAGCATCCAGGACCTTAACAAAGGAAGGGACTTGAGAAGATGCTTCAAGTGGAAAGGCTTACCCAGTCATTGCTAACAGTCAAAGTTGCGCTAGGATCAATTCATCATCCCTTCTGACCCAGCTACCTACCCTCAAGATCCTCAAGATAAACACACAAAATTGCCAATTCTGAGTTCTTAACTTTGCCAGGACACCGGCTCTGCTGCCTGCTAACTCATCGTGTTTCCCTCTCCATCCTCAAAAGGTCGAGTGATTCTGGCTCTCTAAAGTGCCCTGCAAGCGGATTCCACGAGAAGATGCTCCCTACCTGCAGGCGATGAGACTGGCGACAGTAGACGCAGCCTGGCTCAAGGCTTGGGGACTGCGATTTCCTGGTCTTATCTCGAGCCAGAGCCCCGCCCCCTCACGGAAACCTCGCCCACCTCCGCTGACTCTAAAACCGAAGCCACCCAGCAGCTCTGAGGACAAGCTTATTCCATAGGATTTCCTGCAGATGACTTTAGAGTCAGCTATGGGACAGATATTCACAGTTTATAGAAAAACGAAACTAGGGTCCGGTTTGATGGCACACGCCTTAATTCCAGTACTCAGGAGGCAGAGGCTGGTGGATCTCTGGTCTATAGAGAGAGTTCCAGGACAACTGGGCTACTTCAGAGACCCAGTCGTTAAAAATAAAAAAAAAAGAAAAAGAAAAAACAAACAAACAGATAAACAAAAGCTATTTAAAAACGAAACTAAAAGTGAAAGTGAAACTAGCATTACCTTTCTTGTAAATCAGGTTCCCTGAAAGAAACAATCCGGAGTAAATAACTCAGCTGTTTTTGGGGTGGGAGTGGAGCCTGGTATCCAGGGTAGGAGAGGGAGGGTGTGCATGGAGACCAGAGGTCCACATAGGTTGTCTTCCTCTACAGCTCCCACCGTGTTTTTTTGAAAGAGGGTCTCTCATACTTAACCTGAGCTCGCAGCTGGCTAGACTAGCCGGCCAGAGTGCTTCCAGGGGTCCCCACTCCCGCCTCTGGTGCCAGCACTGGGATCTCAGACATGGGCCATCTCTGCTTTTATTGTGGGCAATGAAGATCCGAATTTCAAATCTTCATGCTTGAGCAGTGAGCGCTTTAGAAGCAAAATATCTGAAGTCATAAAATCTCTGACTTAAATTTTATCTTCAGAATCCAGACACTTTAAAATTGCCATCCGGTTCCCCATCTTTCAAGCCCTTTCTGGATACCTGAGTGACAGTCTTGACATAACTTTACATATAGAGTTACACAACCTATAGAGTTAGTAACAGGCAAATGACTCGGCTTTAATTCTAGAAAGTAGGTGTGTCTGTATAATAGGAAATATATTTTTAAATCGTGGATTTGGTGACTTCCTCAAATTTCCTCGACATAATGAAACCAGTTGCCTTGCCCTTCAAGAACTTCCTATCACGAAATGTGCCCTTTGTGAGCGCTGTGGACCACTGCCGCTCTCGGGATCCAGGTGGGGAAAATCTATTCTAGGTGATGTTGAGAAAGCCCTTCTGCGAACTGGAAATGTGGGCTTTTTCCAAGACAAAAACCATGGGAACTCCACAGAGCACTGTCATCATTTAAACATTTCACTGTTGGACTTCGAGGACCTTCTTCATTCTCTGCTTTCCCCACGAATTCACTAAAACTACTATCCTAAAGTAGTGCATTGAATGAATATTGGGGTGTCCGCTGGGCTTGGTTGCAATGAGATTTTCACATTCTCAAAGCATCTCCATTTTCAAACGTGGAAGTCATTGGAGATGACACTGCCTTAAGTGTCTATAGTGACTGTGGAACTCTCAACAGCATCAATAAAACTGGAATAAGAGCAGAGCCTCAGCTGAGATAGTCCCTCTTCCAAATGTCTTTTGAACTCCAATAATAGAATAAAGCAATTTTCCTAACCTCAGTTGGCTGACTGAAAATAAAATATAGACTTCATGTGTGGAAATCTAGTCCAAACATATATGTGTGTGTATACATGCACAGACAAAACGTAGTTCTAGTTAATAGTTCTTCTCTTTAAAAAGATAGCCAAGACCCAGGACATAAGCTTTATGATATGTTAGTGACTATTCAGATCTGTTTAAAAAAAAATTTATCTTAGAGACTCACTCCTTAGCTGAGTCCTCTTGGTTTGATAAGGATTTGAGAGGTGAGGATTAAGTCATACCCTTAGCAGTCTCTATGATGTAAATTATTTTTTAAAGCTAGAAGGAGTGAGGTGGTTTGGTTTGGCTTGTTTTACAAAAACATTGCATAAAGTCCGGGAAGGCAAGTGCTGACTGAACCTGGTCTCTCTGAAGCTCTCCATGGGAATTGGGGGCCCGCTGCTTTCACTGATTTGCATATGAGTAATCTGAAGAGCCATCTCCCCACCACACCTCTCCTCCACCTGTTTCTACTCCTCTGACATCTATTTATTTTCCCATGAAGTTGATCATGCCCCATTAATGAAGTTTTGGTGTCCTCCAGAAATAGAAAAGGAGGATGTGACTTTAATATATACATACATCTCATCATAATCGTCATCATCAGCATCATCACCATCTCAAAAAAAAAATACACATAAGCCAAAATAGCCTAGGAAAGGAGAGAAGTATCCCTGAAAGTGATCCGAGTTTTGTGATTTGGACAAAATAAATAGAGAAATGGTCAGACAAGAGAAAAACAGTGACTAGCCAAGGCTGAAGAGTGGAACTTATCTCTAATGCCATCTCTAACCTCTGTTTCCTGTTTATAGCCCACCCGGTCTATTCATTTCAGGGAGATAAACCTCCTTACTTCTCACATTCTACTTAGTTGACGATGGAGACCAACCGTAAGGCAATACAGAAAGTGATTCTGGAGATAGCCAGGAACAATCTGCAGGAGGGACACACTGCAAAGGCTGGAGGCGACCACCCTTGGCAAGTTCCTGCAGAGAATATGACTGTGGCTGGAGTCTAGGCTGGAAGGCTGGCTCTCAACATGCCATGAAGGGCCTTGAGGGTTAAGGAGAAAGGTTGGTTTCTAATTGTGACTCAAAGTCATTAGCTAGTTTAAGGCAGAGGAGTCATGTGTTCTATAGACAGTAACTACAGCTAGCCGAAGAAGGTGGGTGGAGAAGCTTTAAGGAGATTCTGTTACAGTTCAGTTCAATTCCAACACTACCTATGGGGAAATAAAGTCACATCCCAAAGTGATCACACACACACACTCACAACACATACACACATGCAGATCATTTTATTTTTTAAATTTTATTTATTTTATATGTATGTATTTATTTTATATGTATGTATTTTTTATGTATTTTATATGTATTTTATTTTATATGTGTTTTGTCTGAATGGATGTCTGTGCCAGATGAGGGTGTCAGGCTTCCTGGGACTGGAGTTTACAGATAGTTGTAAGCTGCCATATGAGAGTTAGGAATCAAACCCTGGTCCTTTGGAGTGCCCTTAACTGGATGAGTTCTCTACAGTCCTATTTCTCAGAGTTCAGGGACTATTTTCTGAAGGAGGAGAAGGAAAAAGAGGAGGAAGAGGAAGAAGAGGAGGAGGGGAAGGAGGAAGAAGATCATTCAGGGGAGGAGACCAGGCTGCGATTCACAGGTTGAGAACAGGGTCATGTGTGTCGCATGGGTTAGAGGAGAAGGAAGTTAGCAAGCAGGTGCTTAGTCAATACTGACAGCACAGTTGAAAAGCACCCAAAAGAGAAGCAGCTACAAGTTTCCTGCTCATCAGCTGTGCCATTATTTACATACAGCTGAAAAGGGCTAAAGCCCACACCCTCACTGCTCTTCCCCAGCGCTCCCCCAGTCAAGCTTGGGATGCTATGAAATGCTTCAGCTGAGCTGCACAAAGCCTCCTTGGATTCAGGTTACAGTCTGAAATGTACCTGCCCCTGCTCAGACCAGCTCCCTTTAGCTCCCCTGCTCTCTCCACCACAGTTATCTTCAGTTACTGCATTTCAGTGACAAACCTTGACAAACTACAGCATCATTTAAAAAAAAAAAAAAGCCTACCAAATGAATAAGATGAAATCACAGTAATGACTGGAAGAGTCAGTAATAGTAAAACAGGCAGTAGTTTCAAATATCAGACCCTCTCGTGCATCCACCTAACTTGTGTAATAGTCTTATGAGTTGTATTTCCTGGAGTCACCTCTACTTTAGGGCTGTGGAAATGGAGACTCCCCGTTCAAGTAACTTGTCAAACTTACATGGTAGGAAAGGATACAGTGGGGATCAAAGCCAGAATGATGCTCCAGTGTGCTGCACAGCGGCCACACAGGTAAGGGAGCATCTTCATCCACTGCCATCACAGTGTGTGCATCTTAAGGCCCTGGCTTATTGTATGCCCCAGAAATTCTATCCCTACCACCCAAGACAACTGACAAGATGCTCACATAAGCTAACAATGCTATTCATACTAGACTAAACAGAACCATCCAAATGTCCATTGGTCTGAATGGATACACAAAATGTCTTATAGTCATACACTGGACTACTATTTAGTCCCAACAAGAAATGGAGCCACAGTACATGCTCTAATTTACTCGTTTAATTTTTGTTTCTCTGTGTGTGCAAGTGAACACGCATGCAAGGAACAGTTAGAGATGTCAGAGAACAGCTTTCAATACTGGGGTCTCTCCTTCCACCATGTGGATCCCAGGAATATAACTGGGTCTCAGGGTGGCAAGCATGTTTACCCGCTGAGCCATCTCATCAGCCCCCATACTATAGCTTAGATGAACACACACACACACACACACACACACACACACACACTAGTGTTAAAGTTTAAAAAGCCAGTAAAAAGTCTGTTCATTTATATAAACTATCTAGAATACGTAAGTCTTTGAAAGGGTAGAAAATAGATTAAGATGGGTTTTATAGGTTGATTGTATGTGACATTGTCCATAAAGATAGGTTCTATAGATTGACTGAGAAAAACAGCTCATGATGAGGGAAGGATCTGGTATGGTCTCGCCCACACAGCGCAAATATTGACCACCTCCGTTCCCAGCCCTCTGAGCAGAAAACATGTTATACATCTTTTTCTTTGAAGCTACAACCCTGTGTGTTTAACATTTTTGGTTCCCATAGTGCTTATCTGCAGGTACAAGGACTTCTGACCCTCCAACAGCTGGGAACAGAACAGAGGCAAGTTTAGTTTGCAGGTATAGACACTACTTCCTACCTTAGAGATCTGTGGCTCATTTCTCTCCGAAAGCACGGACTCCTAGCAACACATACCCACTCCCACAAATAGGACTAAAGATACTGTTGCAATTTCTCCATCCAAGTAATGTTTGGAATGAGGGATCTGAAAGTCAGAATGTAGAGGACTGAAGCTAAGAACATCTGTACAAGGCTGCGAGGCTAGATATGCCTGAAAGAGGCTAGATTACCTTCTCTAAAGTGTAGGGCCAGCCAAGGTTAAAACAGGGCTCTTAAAGGCTGTGAAGCACGTACTATTTTCCCAACTGGTTGCATAGCAAGTGCTAATGGGTCCTTGAATGTTTCCTCAGTGAAGTTGGGAGTGTGGAAAGCACATAGGGAAATAGGGAAATTCTTGCCACTGTTTGCTTTTTGTTCCCTGTTTACCTTTATGCGATTTGGTGGTGGCGTGTTTTGTTGTTGTTGTTGTTTTTCTGTTTGTTTTTTACAGGCAGCTTTCCCTCGAAATCATGCACTATACTGGACCCTGCAGGTTGGAATTTGCTGTTCTGTCCCGCCCCACCCATCTCCCGGCTCGGCGCTTGCACCGGAAGAACACCCCGGGCCTCAAAGGAGCCAAAGGCCACGCTGATTGGTTGAAACTCGTGATCCACTGTTATAGCCAGCCAATCCTGGGGCTCTGCCGAGCAAGGTACTGTCTGTGCCCTGCTCAGTCTGGAGCTCTGGCTAGAGGCCTCTGTCGTGGTCACCTTCCCCGCACCGTGTCGCGTGAGTGCATCGGGTCACAGGCTCCTGGAGGGAGGGTCGGCTCGGTTGTATGAGCCCGCACAGCTGCAGCTCCCGCTGGATAGGGAAGGCCTGGGCTGTGGGTTCTGCTGATGCCCCCGAGGCTGACAGGTATTGCCAACCCGGTTCTATGAGTGTGATCTCTCCATACCATTGTCATCAAGTTGGGACAAGTGTGGAGAGTGCAATGGACAGGGAAATGGGATATCTTTAGGGAAATACCCTAAATGACGGTAAGCTGGCTCAGCCGAGCGAGAGTGGAAACAAAACAAAACAAAACAAAAACCAACCCCAGAGGTTATGTGGCTTCCTTCTTGGGAACATGGTTTGGAAGATTTATTGAGAATGAATGTGATGATGTGACCAGCCAAAAATTCTGGGTCTAAATCAGGGAAGAAATCTGGATGACAGAAATCGCGCAGAATTCCTTCTCTTCTAAATCGAATCCTGGTTCCTAGGACGACCACAGAAAGTCTGTCTGGGATTTGCACAGTCAACATACCCCCCCCCCCGCCCCCGGCGCCCGCCCCAACACACCTTTCCAGAGTACCTTGAATCATGGCCTCTTGGGACTGGAGCATTAACGCCAGTGTTTCCCCATCCCTAACCTAAAGCAAACTGAAAACCAGGAGCAGCCTAGACTCACATCCATATTCTCCATCCTCCAGGACACTGTGGTTTTCTGTGTTGCCTGTAATGAAGTCAGTTTGGGGCCACTCTTACATATTGCTAATAATATTGTCTGTCTCTGGGAGAGAAAAATTTGAAGGTATTTGGGACATCCTAAGGAAAGAGCACAAAATGGCTTTGTTAGGTATGGGGAGAAGAGGTTGAAAACACTGTTCAAGGGTGAAGTTACAGGGTGTGGCATGCTCATTTGCAGGTGTAATCTCCAGAGGGACATTCCTGTTTGCCTTCTACCTTTAACTGTGTACCTGAGATTTCCCCGACACATCCAAAGTCCAAGTCCAGGAGTGCAAGGCCCAGAAAGAGGTAAGCCTAGATCCTAGCTTTCCAAAATGTTTCTCTGCTCTTCTCTAGATGATTGACAGGAAGGTTGCCCTGCTACTTCAAGGGCTGGAGAGCTCACCCCCTTAGAAATAGAAGTAGGCCAAGAGACTAAGAGGAGTGTGTGTGTGTGTGTGTGTGTTTGTGAGTGTGTGAGAGTGCGAGTGTGTGAGTGTGTATGAGTGTGTATGTGTGTGAGAGAGTGTGTTTGTGTGTGAGTGTGTGTGTGAGAGAGAGTGTATGAGTGTGCATGTGAGTGTGTGTGAGTCTGTGAGAGTGTGTGAGTGTGTGTGAAAGTATGTATCTATGTGAGTGTATTGTGAGTGTCTGTGTGTGTGTGTAGACTAGAGAACAGTAGGTTTCTTTGAAGATGTTTTAAGATGCTTGCAGCAGATGTAAAAGTTCAATAATCTACTCCTACAGAAGAAAACTAAGGGATGTTGAGCAGCCTGAGCCAAGGTTTGTCTTCTGTTAAGATTCCTATTTTGTGCAAGTGTTTGTGTGAAGTAGAAGCCACAGAGACTATCAAGATGGATGATAAGACTTCTCCTGCAGGCTCAGTTGGAAGTGACTCATGTGACCTGCCAATACTTAGACAATTGAGTAAACAGCTGGATCCCCCTCCCAGATGAGTGTCCTCTGCCTCTACTCATAGGGTGCTGAGTGGGACAGTGACAGACATGATGTCCCAGGGCTGCGTAAGGCTCTCTCTTCCTTCCTAGGAAGTAGTTCAGCCTCTGCTCAGCCTCACAGCTGACTGGCTTAAGGGCTGCTTAATTCCAGGGAATACAGGGATGTCACTGAAACCTCAGCTCATACTCACCTGGAGCCCAACTAACAGGGTAACCATACCAATTGATGTGAAACAGCCCTGTTCTCCATGCTTATATCCGGGGTTACTCTAAACCCAGGGATTTTCTTATGAGGGAAGATGTGGAAGCAGCTGTTGTCTGGGATTTCCTCAGAATATGCATAAATCCCGGCTGTGAAGCAGTGGGACCGGCTGTTGTGGCATGGAGGTATTCAACAGCCTAAGACAACACTGAAGAAGAAGAGATGTTGTGACATTCCCCTGAGCCTTATGGTCTTCTGAAAAATCAATAACCAATGAAAATGTTTTCTGAAAATGCTCAGTTGTGTTTAGAACAAAATTAGAAGTTCTGACCCATCTATAGTCTATAGACCTCTGGGGTAGCTGTTAGATAAGATTATATAATAATATTTTTAAAAGTCAAGGTGGTGACTGATATAGAGGTGGCTTGAGTCACAGTTTTTAAGAAAATAATGGTAAGAAGGGGATATAGATCATAAGGAAAAATATCAAAATTTGAATTCATTTCCCAGGCTAGTAAAACAGAACAACCATTCTGTTTTTAATGTTACTGTAAAATTTAATAAATTATATTGAACATGCTATTCTAAAAAGAGGCCTGTATTTCTTTAGGCTAACATAAGTGTTTCTGAGAATATTAAAGTAGGCTAAGGTAAACCACAACGTTCGGTATATTTAGTGGTGTAGTAAATGCATTTTTTTCTCAATGGTATGTCCAACTTGCAATGAGTTTATTGTGCTGTAAGATCCATTGGAAATAATGGAGAGACTCTACAATGTAGTCATTCTTAAAGACCATTTCTGGGCTGAGGAGACGGCTTTGTGGGTAAAGCACTCAGCATGCAATTGTGAAGACTTGTGTTGAAAGCTTGCACATCAATGAAAAGTTGGGCATGGTAGCACACATCTATAATTCCAGTGGTGAGATGAGAGGCAGAGACAGGAGAATCCCTGGAAGCTCCCGGCCAGCTATCCTGGGGTACACAGCTGAGAGCAACATTTGGGAAAGACTGTCTCAAGCGAGGTGGAAAGTGCAGAACAATGCCTGGGGTTACCCTCTGACCTGTGGCACACACCCACCTGCACTCACACACATGAATGTATGTCTACACTCACACATGGAGATCTATTTGCAAAGGCATGTAAGCATCCTTATCCTGCCCTTTTGAGAGCCTCGGTAACTTGGAAAGAATGAAGGCAAGACTGGAGGAAAATAGCTAGGGGTTATCAGCTGCAGGAGGATGAGACTTGTGTCAAAGAGGGAGGGGAGCATGAGACGTCAGGGGGAATACTGACGTACTGACTCCAAGACACTTACACCTTATACGCAAGGTCAAGAGGGACAGACAGAAGTTCTGAACACACATCCTCAGATGCAAGGTCTTCTTGTCTGGCAGAACAGACGGTAAGAAGGTGACTCACGTTAGATTTATTGAGGGAAAAACCGAGGAAGCATGGCGCTGTATGTTCACAGAGCAGGGAGAGATGGGAAAACATTTCAGTCAGCTCTTCTTGGTTGAGTAAATGATGTTCAGGCTGGGTAAGTATGCCTGAGGTTAGACAGCTACTTAGAATTTACACTATTCTCTAGGTCAGGGTTTTTTCCTCTCTCTTTTTACATTGTCACAGCTGATAGGAGCCCAACATCTGTATAAGGATGTACAGAGTCTGTTATTTCAACATGCCTTGCATTTTACACTTTAGGTCAAGATGGGGTTTATATTCTCGAAATCAATGAATGAAAACATGAAAAACCAACAGGAGTTCATGGTTATGCATGCTCGACTTCAGGTATGTGCTAGTTGAGATGCTATGTTCCTGATCATGTTTAGTTTCTAGAATGGTGCTCTAGAAGCATGTTCTCTTAGACTCCCTTTGACCCCTAATTAAGATGCTCTTGGGCTCCATCCTCAAAGACAAGGTGAAGAAGGTGACTAAGTAACTGGTGAGTGGCCCATGTCTCCAATCCAGATACTTGAGCCAAAAATTCCACACTACTTGCTTAGAATATATTATGAACAGAATATGCCTCTTCCCCGGGGCATTCTGGATTCCTAGAACCTGTGAGTATATTAGGAATATGACACCTTACATGGAAAAGGATTTTACAATGTGTTCATCTGAAGAAGTGTTATCCTAGATTATCAATATAGATCCATTATCATTTTCAGGACCTTTGTAAGAACGTGTGTGTGTGTGTGTGTGTGTGTGTGTGTGTGTGTGTGTGAGAGAGAGAGAGAGAGAGAGAGAGAATTAAAAAATGTTACACTGTTGCACATAAAAGTCTTAAACACAATCACAACCTGGGCAGCACTCTCCTGGCTTTGAAGATGTAGAGTCCAGACCATGGGCCAACAAATGCAGGCAGCCTTAATAAGCTGGAAAAGCCAAAGAAATAGAATTTCCCCTGCCGCCTCCAGAGAGACAGAGCCGTGCCAGCCCATTTTAGCCCTTTAACCTTAGACAATAAATTGTTAAAGCTGCATTAGGAAACTGCTATAGACTGTGGTGCCTGACCTTGGGTTGTACAGTAGATGTTTAGAAAAAAAAAATCAAAGAGACTGCTGAACTGCCTAATATAAGCTGTCAAAGTATTTTTAAAATCTTACATGACACAACTGAATGTTAAAAAGTTCAACCCAAATTGGTTTTGCTAAGGTTTTAGACAATGATCATGAGGCCCCTGTGGTCTGTTATGGCTCTAAGAATAGAAAGTCCTACTCTTGGGCAGTACAAGTGAGAGGTAACCTAGACACCTGGATGAGTCCATAGCATCCTGCCTGTGAGCATGACCTATCCTTGGTCTCCTGGTCTGTACCCTATAGGCAATACACCCTTCAGAAACGCTCCAAGAAATAAAAATTATGCACATTATAGAGAATGTGTACTATAGTGCCTGTTGCTTATATTAGGTGTTGCTGTCATTGCTTTTAAAAATATGTTTTAAATGTTAGGGTTTCATGTAACCCAGGGCAGCTTCAAATTGCTTATGTAGTCTAAATGGCCTTGAGCTTCTGAGTCCTCCTGTCTGTCTCTTCATGGATAGGATTACTGATATGTATCACTATATCCCACTGATGTTAAAGACTTACAAAAGTTTCTGTGTGGGATAATGATTCCTTTGGGGAAAGTTGAAAGGATGGGCAAGTTACTTACTGTAACGCAGCAATGACCAGAGGAGACTTATAGGCTAGGAATCAGCCCAGTATCTCAGAAACAAGAGTTGTGTGTGCCTGGAAACTACAAAAGTTTCATTCTTATATCACACTACATGACCTCAGGATCTGTGAAGATCTGGGGACTTTATTCCCCTTGGAAGTTACAGAAAACCAGAGACTCCCACATCAGAGATGTTCGTCACTGCACAGAAGCAGGGTGAGCGAAGTGCTGATGTCACTTCCTCCTGCTACTCAAAGCTCATGCGCTCTGTGGATTTGGGTCAGATATGGGGAACACTGAGTGTCGGGGAATCTACTGCTGTTATAGGGAACCATGAACAAGAGGAAAGTGGAGGCTTTTGCTTTGTGTCACTCCTCAGGGTTGTTCACTGACACGCAAGCAAGAGATGGCTCCAGGAAATGGGGCCCTGCTTTTTTTGACGTACCCTTCAAGAATGCACAGGATGTTCATAGTCCTAGGTAGTCACCTGACTGACCAGAGGCAAAGGAACAGCTTTAAGTCCTTCCCCATCGATCCCAATGAGCAGGTTTTCCGTGTGTGGCATTGAGGTTGAATTGCATCAGCCATTCCTCTTCGGCTTAGCTAAACCAAAAGTGAACCCAGCCCCTTTTTGAGCCAGCAGCTTTGACTCAGCTGGAAGAGGACAGGTTGACATTTTCCCTGAGGGCTGTGGCTACCGCACCTGTATGCAGCCAAGAAGAGACTAAGGTGTGGTCTGAGCACTTGCACCTTCAAGCAACTACTTTGACCAGCAGACGGACCTCTACCTTCTACTTGTCCTGTCTTGGATTCCAGACTCCACAATAGACATGTCACCCCTCAGGCTCAAACAGAGCAAAGGCTATTTTATACAAAAGCTCACCAACAGAACAATGATGGCTTCGCCTCTCTGACTACTCGCTGAAGTGAAGCCCCTCACAGTTTGTATGCTGGAAATCCAGCTCCAATATGACTTCATTTGGAGATAGTGTCTTTACAGAGGTAATCAAGTTAAAATAAATCCTTAGGGTGGGTCTAATCTGATATGTTGGTGACTTTTAAGAGGAAATTGAATCATGCACCCCCAAATATGTCACTTATAAGCCTGCGACAGAGGTCTTCTCATGGCTTGTCCAGGAAACATTGGTTTTGGATTTCTAGATTCCAGAACTGAAGCAAAAAAAAAAAATTTTTTTTTTTTCTATTGCTTAAACTAGCCAGTTTGTGGTCTCTTTGTCGGTGGGGGCAGGTATACAGCTTTAGCAAGGAGGAAGTACTTGGGGCCTGTATCCAGAAGGGGGCGCTGGTGTACTGGGCAAGGGGCTCTCTGCAGCTCAACTTCGATTTTCTACTTTTCTCCCTATTTCTATAAGACCTGCCAGGAGGAACATCAGAGAGGTCATGAGTGGGAGAGAGTTGGTCACCATGAGGTTTGTGTACAGAATGGCACATCAGTTTCACTGTACACTTATGTGTGTGCACCACAATATCTGAATTGCATCAAGCTCCTTTCCTCACTACAGACTTTGTTCAGACGACAGCAGTTGAATTCGGCCCATCTTCCATTCAAAGAATTTATCCTAAGTATTATAGGGTCCCTATATAGTTTCAGGAGTTTAGATATTTTAGCAGATGTTCAGTGACTACTACAACAAGGCCTTTGTTTTTCCCATCAAGAACCACAAAAAGTTTTGGTTGTGTTTTCTTTTTTTAAAAAAAATAGTTTTTGAGAATTTTGTACAAGGTCTTATGGCTAGGGGCTATGGCCCAGTTGTAGAGCATTTGCCACACATGCACATGGACCTAGGTTCAGTTCCCAGTACTCTCTCAGTGCTGACAGAGAGAGAGGGGAGAGAGGGAGAGGGAGAAGGGGAGGGGGGAGGGGGAGAGGGAAAGGGAAGGGGGACCCACATTAGTAGTTACAATGATATTATCATCAACCTTTAGTTTTCCGGTAGAAACTGCTTCTTCTAATTTCTGTTACTGAGAAATGAGCTATATAGTTAAAATGAAACATTTTTTTTCACAGTGCCACTAGATGGCACACATAAACAACTTTATAACATCAGAAAGTCTGGAAAGAAAGTCTGGAAAGAATCCTGATGTTATGCTGTAGGATGGAAATGAGAAGCCTAACACAGGGAAAGAGAAATACAGATGCTGCCGGCCTGAGCTGTGCGATAGGACTGTAGGCAGAGCAGCAGGATCATGCAAAGATTAGCAGACAGCAAAAGTGTGCTGTGTCCAGGGAACAACGTGAGAGAAAAACGAAAGCCAACCAAACATGAGAGCCAGGCTGTGTGCTGAAAACTTAAGGTGGTGTAGAATTCTTTTAGTTTTTTAGTGAGATTGGATCTTGTGCATGGGAGATGTAGTGTTTTGACCCTGGTTACTTTTTATCGTCAATTCGAGATCTGGAGCCACTGGAGAAGAGGGAATCCCCGTTGAAGAACTACTTCAGTTCGATCGGCCAGAGGCCATATCTGTGAGAGATTGTCTTAACTGATGATTGGTGTGGGAGCGCTCAGGCCACTGTGGGCAGCACCATTGCTAGCATGTAGGTCTGGGCTGTATAAGGAAGCCATCTGAACAGGCTAGAAAACAGTGTTCTTCACATGGTTCCTACCTCCAGGTTCCAGCCTTGAGTTCTAGACCTGACCTCCCTCACTGATGGATTGTGACCTGGAAAATGAAATAAATCCTGTCCTTCCAATGTTGTTTTTGGTCATGATGTTTCACCACGGTCACAGAATCAAACAAGAACAGTTCCTAATGTGGAAATATTAAGAAACCTTTCCAGACACACACTGAGGTGTTTCTGGTTTTTAGATATTACGACAGTAAGTGATTTATATGAATTTCTGTGGTGTGCCTATCAAGTGCTAAAATACCTTGGTGATTTCTTTTCTCAAGGGATCACACATTCTTGAACAGGGTAAAGATGGCAGCCAATGAGTTCAGTGCTGTGTTAAGAACAGAGAATGATGTATGTTAGTGTATCTGCTGACTACAGAATGCCAGGGGCTTTTCTGAAGACCACTTTGTTTAGTTAACACTTAGTCCTGGTAGTGAACAGATGCCAGCTAGTTAATGAGGGAATAAACATGAAAAAGTGAGGTTGAGAGCTTTTCTCTCTTGTTTGTTCTGACATGGTTCAAATGTTTTATGTAGGACTTTTCTTAGAAGAAAATATATTTGGATCAAGTTTAATAAGCACATGATTTTATTTTTTAAATTTATTTATTGTATGTAAATACACTGTAGCTGTCTTCAGACACCCCATAAGAGGCCATCAGATCTCATTACGGATGGTTGTGAGCCACCATGTGGTTGCTGGGATTTGAACTCATGACCTCCGGAAGACCAGTCAGTGCTCTTAACCACTGAGCCATCTCACCAGCCGCATGTTTTAATTTTAAATCTATTAGGAAAACTGATGTTAGTTTTAGGTTCATTGTTAGGTTTAGTTTAGAATATTTGATGAATGTAGCTGTTAGTTTAAGAGGTTACTTATAATAATTATGCCTTTGGAGACCTGAAATTATTATATATGGGTATATTTTAGTTTTTCAATCATTATACATTGTTTAGATGTCAAATAGTATTAAGACGTAACTTTCAGTTATTTTTTTCTAGAAGTAAAACATTAACTTCAAGTTCTATTTGTTTCAAAGTTTTTGAACATGAAGACCTCAAAGTTTTTAAAACTGCAGTAAAATGAGGGATTATGTTACTGCTTTCTTCCCTCCCTCCCTCCCTCCCTCCCTCCCTCCCTCCCTCCCTCCCTCCCTCCCTCCCTCCCTTCCACCTGGTCCTTGATGAGGTCTCTCTGATGCTTCCTTCCTGAGACACCCACTGCCTTGTGTCTCCTTTGTTGTAACATGCCACTAATCCCAGATTTTCACCTCTAGGTGTATCATTGTTGTTGCTGTTGATGTTGTAGTTGTCCCTTGACACAGGACAGCAATGTAGTCCAACTTGGCCTCAAATTCACAATTCTTCTTTCTATGTCCCCTCTTAAGTTCTAGGACAGGCATACCCTACCAAACCTGGTGCAGAACTCTTATATCCAGAGAGAGAGAGAGAGAGAGAGAGAGAGAGAGAGAGAGAGAGAGAGAGAGAGAGAGAGAGAGAGAGAAAGAGACAGAGAGAGAGAG